GATTCAAAGAGCACTAACTTTTAGCAAATGCAGGAGAAATTGTATACCTTTTTTGTCCAGCTTCTGATAAATACTAGAATAAATAAGTTAAAAGAGAGAGATTGGGCTCTGTAAAGACAGCAATATTCTTTAGCTAAGGCTGAGGAATCCTGGAAGTAACATCTGGCCAAGAGGACTGTGACTGAATGTGATTATTGTTTCAAGCCAAAAGATATAATATCTTTTGTTTATTATTAATTTAATAGAAGTCTATTTTTTGTTTTACAACTATTTTCCTTTGTATACAGTAACTCCTCACTTATGTTCCTGAAAAATGCAACTTTAAGCGAAACGATGTTAAGCGAATCCAATTTCCCCATAAGAATTAATGTAAATGGGGTAGGGTTAGGTTCCAGGGGAAATTTTTTCACAGGGAAAAAAAAAACTATATATAGTATAAGTTTTAAACAATTTAATACTGTACACAGCAATGATGATTGTGAAGCTTGGTTGAGGTGATGAAGTTAGAGGGTGGAAGAGGGTGGGATATTTTCCAGGGAATGCCTTACTGCTAAATGATGAACTAGCATTCGGCTGAGCCCTCAAGGGTTAACACATTATTGTTAATGTAGCCTCACACTCTACAAGGCAGCACAAATGGAGGGAGGGAAGACAGCATGACAGACAGAGACACATACCCTGTGTGTGGGAGAGAGAGAGAGAGATACGCATTGCCCCTTTAAGTACAATGACACCACTCTAAGTACATTGTCTTTTTAAGTATATCAGGAAGTTGAGATAGCAACTGTGGCCAGCCAGCTCTCTCTGTCCTGAGCTCTGTCATGTCCCCACCCTGCTCTATATGGAGAAGGGGTAAGCAGGGGGCAGGAGTAGGGGGGAGGGGGACACCTGACATTAGACCCCCTCCCCCCCGCCCCGCACAGCAAGCAGGAGGCTCCCAGGAGCAGCTCCAAGGCAGAGGGCAGGAGCAGCACATGGCAGTGAGGGGAGGGACAGCTGAACTGCCGGCAATTGATAGCCTGCTGGGCAGCTGCCGCACAGGGAACTTAGGGGAGTGGGGAGCTGATAGGGGGCCTCCTGGTCCACCCTGGTTACAAATCCCCACCAGCTAGCTGCTATGGGCTGCTCTTCCTGCAAGCAGTGGACAAAGCAGGCGGCTGCCAAATAATGTTATAAGGGAGCATTGTGTAACTTTCAATGAGCATGTTCCCTAACTGATCAGCAATGAAACAACGTTAACTGGGACGACTTTAAGTGTGGAGTTACTGTACCTTAAAATGCAGCACATCAAAAAATTCTTCCATCACTAGTTCAAAACACTTAAAGTTTTATATATTGTTGTGATTCTCAATTGCAGAATTTATCTATCAGTCTGTGAGAGACAATGATTCCTACAAATAGTTGGACTTTCAGGTATACAGGTAATTAGGCGCTAAACAGGTGTTTAGGGAAATATCAATCTTTTGTATCTGAAGGAACAGTGGTTTTGCTGCTGAACTGTCAAGAATCTTCAAATCAGGAAAGTGCTTCTTTATTATTTTCCCCCCATACATAAGAGGGAAAGATTTAACAACAGTACTTGTTTCACCTCTGTGCTGCTACTGGTGATGGGATTACAACACTGATAATCATATTCACTTGCTGAGCTTATTCACTTTTTTCACTAATATTTTATTAGACTTGTTCTATTACTTGAAATGTTCTTAATTCTGTATTTGATTTTGTTTTCTAATCAAGTCAATGGAATTCCATTGGCCACAGGGATCTGTGTTAGTGAGCCTCAATGTATGATATAGGCCTTCAATTTGCCCTGAGTTTTTTTGTGAGCATGTAGGTAGAAGAATGATCTTATGGGTAGGGCTCTGCTTTGGAATTCAGGAGATCTGGGTTCAGACTCCCTCTGTGACCTCAAACAAGTCACTTAAGCAGGAATTTTCAAAAGAGCCTAAATTTTGCCTGATGGTTTCATGCGGGTTTTGACCAGCTATGGAGCTGGTCGACATTTTTTTAAAACCATTATGATAAAAGTTTGAGGGGGAAAAAGCAATAGAAACACCTTTTTTTTTACCACACTGCTTTTTACCACACTGCTTTCAGTGCATATTGTTACCAAATCTGATCTAAAATTAAAGGGATTAAGCCAGGGGTCGGCAACCTGTAGCACGTGGCTCGCCAGGGTAAGCACCCTGGTGGGCCGGGCCAGTTTGTTTACATGCCGCGTCCGCAGGTTTGGCCAATCGCAGCTCCCAGTGGCCGTGGTTCGCTGCTCCAGGCCAATGGGGGCGGCAGGAAGCCGTGGCCAGCACATCCCTCGGCCTGCGCCACTTCCCGCAGCCCCCATTGGCCTGGAGTGGCGAACCGCGGCCAGTGGAAGCCGCAATCGGACGAACCTGCAGACGCGGCAGGTAAACAAACTGGCCTGGCCCGCCAGGGGACTTACCTTGGCGAGCCGCGTGCCAGAGGTTGCCGACCCCTGGATTACCACTCCCCTGCCTGATCTATTGTCAGGCTGTCTGGAGTGGCTCACAACTGTGACTGCCTACCTCAGAGTAGACTGTCAGAAACAGGGCAGACACTCCTAACTGGTGGTATGTTCTACAATTAGATTTTACCAACCCAGTAAAAAATGTGAACTCCTGAATCACTATAACTGTCTTACCATGGAGTCACAGACAGTCCCCTTAGGCTCTCCAGTCTATCTTGCCACACACGCAAGCTGGATTTAGTGATAAATGGTCACTTACACCAAAAAGCACAAAATATTCAGGTTGCTCCCAGTCCCAAGAGACTGGTCACTTATCCCAGATCAATTGGTATCTTAGATCTCACACCAAGAGAACCCTTGTAGCCAATTCTGTAATAAACTAACTAAAGGGTTATTAAGCAAAAGAAATAAGAGTTATTTACAGGTTAAAGCAAGCAAGCATATAACACAAATGAGTTGCAGTCTAAATCCTAAGAATGACAGCGTTGTAGTGATTGGTCAATGCAAAATGTCTTTTTTCAGGGCTAACCCATGCCAAGCGGCATGGGGATCGCTCTACTTATGTTTAGGAATCCTTGCCACTCAGAGTCCAGATAGCATACAAGAGATTCAAATTCTCCTTGTCAGGGATTTTTATCCCCTCCTCTCCAGAGCCCCAAACTGATGTTCTCTTCTTTTGGGAGGCAGTTAGGAATGCAATCAACAAAGTCTCGGCCCTCCGATGCTACTTTCAATTGCTTTCAATGGACCATTATTGTATGCAGGGCAAGCACTTTACCTTAATCAATGTTTCTTTTCCGGTTTGTTGAGATACACAATTACAGAGGTTTACAATGCAAGCACTCAATATAGTTTTACACCATGGGCTATAGAGATTATAAGTGAGATTAATACATGCAGCATCCTACAAGCATTTTATGAAGTATAAACACAAAACATCTAATATCTTATCAACTTAATATATAATATCTATTCTGATGATGCTAACACACAGGTAAACAAGACTGGTTTCGAGCTAAGCATTTGTAAGTGTTCAGTGAGGCCTGGGCATGAGCTGGCACCTGCTCTGCCAGCATCACAACTACATCATTGTACTCAAAATTACAGACATCGTTTACAGTGATGAAAACATTACTGTGAACGTTGTTTGACTGTACGGATATTGTAAACCAACCTGCTTTGCAATGGAAAAAGTGTTTCCTTTGCAACTCTAGAGATTCCTTGATAAGACAAGCTTTGAATTGTATCACTTGACCAACACTATCTTACATGTGAAAATCAAAGAACATAAACTGTCCTTAACATAGCACGTGTAATTTACTGCTGATTTATCCTCTGTATAGAACCAGCATTTAGGGTGACCAGAACATACAGGTGAAATATCGGGACACGGGGGAGGGAAGCAAAAAAAACCAAACAGCCACCAGAGCTCCACGCCCTACCTCCCCCCCCCCGCACTAGCTTGTCTCCACTCCGTCTCCACCTCCCCCCTCCCTCCAGCGCTTGCGCCGCCATACAGCTGATCAGCGCAAGCCTGGGAGGGAGGGGAGAAGAGGAGGAATGCAGCGTGCTTGGGGAAGAGGCGGGGCCAGGGCGGGCATTTGGGGAGGGATCCAATGGGGGAAGGAGGGGACGGAGTCGGGGCAGGGGCGGGAGGGGCGCGAGCTCCCTCCAGGCTCCGCTCCGCCTGTGAGCGGAGGCAAAATATCGGGACAATTCACATCCCAACCGAAGGTAGGTCGGGATGCGGGACAAATAAGCAAATATCGGGACAGTCCCGATAAAATCGGGACGTCTGGTCACCCTACCAGCATTAGACATCTAGTTGGCCACCTACATCATCTATTACATAATCTGTGGGGACCCTGGATGTTGGTGTCTCCCAATAAAACAGGTAGAGTTGTCTGGCATATAAGTAAAATCTTAATATATTTCTCTATATTCAAGTATGGTTTTCCCCCTCCACAGTAGTGCACTTCACTGGCTGGTTGCCTCTGTCCTTCACTGGAGATATGGCTCCATTATTTCACTTATGGTCCTTATGTACACTTTGGGATCCTTCAGGATGAAAGTGAACATGTAAAGTACAGGTATATGTTGTCTGCACCACAGCAAGTTATCCAGTGAGCCAGCACACCCTGAACTAGGGAAGTGTAACTCTAACCCTCGTTATATAGGTTTCAGAGTATATATATGTTTTGGTGCAGACACCTTTAATCCCTCCTCCGGCCCCACCAAAACCTGGCTATTCCTACCCACGGATTTGCAGACGGGACGGAGAACTAAGGAAGCCCTGGGGTGGGGGGCGGGCGGAAGGGAGGGTGGCAGCAACTGGGATTGAGGTTGGATCCCGCTCCCACTTTGGAGGATTCAGGGCAGCCCCAGCATAAATATTCCTTTCGCAGCTGGCAAATTGCGCGTGTGCGTGAATGGCGTTTTCCGGGGGGGGGAGCTCGGGAAGTGAAGCTGGGGAGGAGCCGGACAGAGGGAACTGAGCCCTGGCCCCTCGTCTCACCGGTAAGTGGTCAGCACGGTCTTGTTCACCAGGACGATGAGGAAAGAGCAGGTTCCATAGAAGAAGGCGGAAAGCAGCCGGGGCAGGGGTGGATGGGCGGCAGCAGCCGGCTCCTCCTCGGCCTGCCTAGCGCTCATCTCCTCCTACGTGCAACGGGCCTGTGCCGCAGACAACCAAACCAGCCGCTGGAGAGCGGCGAGACGCGCCGCCGGACATGCCCGCAGCGAGTCCCACAGCAGCACCCAGGGCAAGTGCAGCCGCCCCAGCCCCTCCCTCCTCAGCACCAAGGCAGCGAAACAGGAAGAGTCCGCGCCCAGCCAGTCCCCTCCCTCAGCAGCGGGGCGCCTCGCTGCTGCCTCTGTCTCTCTCCTGCTGAAACCTCGGAGGCGTGTGGCTGGGGCAGGGCGCGCCCGGGCTCAAGGTCCCATCGTTCAGGTGCGCTGCTGGATCCCAGCCATGCCCATTGCACTGATTCAGGCTGAGCCCCTGAGTGGATGGAGCCAAGCAGCAGGGAGGTGCCGAGAACAGCAGCTCCAGCTCGTAGGCTGTCGCGTGGAAAAGTTGGGTAGACTAGCACCTCATCAGTCCCGGCTCAGCACTGGGGTGACACGAGCTGATTGGTTTCCTCCCGCGTCCCAGTCAGGTGGGCTTCTTTGCCTTCCTCTCTCTAAGGTACATAGTCACTCTTACGTTTGTGTGAGATGCACATAAAGGTGCATGTAAGCATGGGGCCTGTAGGTATGATTTTAAAAAAAAGAAAAGGACGTTCAAACCTAGAGTTCAGTGATTGTTTTTATATGCATCACGTGTGGCAGTTTTTTTTATGAAGAATTAAGTGGCTAGAAATATATACTATGTAGATATTCACCAGTGTTGAACATGAATTAAATATAAAGAATTTGAAAAGCAATGATTGAATATTTAGGCTTTCTCTAGACAAGAGGTGTACCCATTTAACTTAAGGTGTGGTTTTAAACTGATTTAGTTAAACCAAGGCAGCGTGTGGACACTTATTGAAGTTTAGCGAAAGTTTATTTCCTATCTGTTTAAGTTAAATCAGAATGAACTACTCAGATGGAAATAAGAGTATTGCATGGGGCTTTGCACCAGATTAACTAAATCAGTTTAAAATCAGATTTAAGATAAATCAGTGCAACTTTCGCATGGTAGATAAGGTCATATTTCTTAGATACTTTGAGTATCCAAAAAAGTAATTACACACACTTTCTGATATGTTTAATGAGCAATTTCAACTTTTTTTTAAAAAAGAGTCATCTCACTGAGCACAGATTACAATTTTGGTTTACCTCAAACATTTATAATCCTTAATGATACCTTAGTGATACCACCAGCTGCCTCAAAGTACAGATGAATGGAGGCCAGGTCTGCAGAAACTGGTAGACAGGAAAAGCCCCGTGAACTTTTAAATTTCATTTCCTGTTTGCCCAGCGTGGAGAGCACAGGTGACCACGCAGAGCTCATCAGCACAGGTAACCATGATGGAGTCCCAGGATTGCAAAAGAGCTCCAGCATGGACCGAACGGGAGGTACGGGATCTGCTCACCATGTGGGGAGATGAATCAGTGCTAGCTGAACTCCGTAGCAGTAAACAAAATGGCAAAATATTTAAAGTTTTAAACTGCAGTGTGTCCTTTTCCTTCCCTCCTCCCCCATCCCTCTCGGGCTACGTTGGCAGGTATCCCCCTAGTTGTGTGATGAATTAATAAAGAATGCATAAATGTGAAGTAACAATGACTTTATTGCCTCTGCAAGGGCTCCTTGAAGGGGGGAGGGGAGGGTGGTTAGTTTACAGGGAAGTAGAGTGAACCAGGGGGAGGGTTCATCAAGGAGAAACAAACAGAAGTTTCACACCGTAGCCTGGCCAGTCACAAAACTGGTTTTCAAAGCTTCTCTGATGCGCAGCGCGCCCTGCTGTACTCTTCTAACCGCCCTGGTGTCTGGCTGCGCGTAATCAGCGGCCAGGCGATTTGCCTCAACCTCCCACCCTGCCATAAATGTCTCCCCCTTACTCTCACAGATATTGTGGAGCGCACAGCAATAACAATTGGAATATTGGCTTCGCTGAGGTCTATCCGAGTCAGTAAACTGCGCCAGCGCACTTTTAAACGTCCAAATGCACATTCTACCACCATTTGGCAGTTCCTCAGCCTCTCCAGGCTGCCTGTGTATGGCTTCATGAGCCATGGCATTAAGGGATAGGCAGGGTCCCCAATGATAACGATAGGCATTTCAACATCCCCAACGGTTATTTTCTGGTCCGGGAAGAAAGTCCCTTCCTCCAGCTTTTGAAACAGACCAGAGTTCCTGAAGACGCGAGCATCATGTACCTTTCCTGGCCATCCCCCGTTGATGTTAGTGAAACGTCCCTTGTGATCCACCAGGGCTTGCAGCAGCATTGAAAAGTACCCCTTGCGGTTTATGTACTCGGTGGCTTGGTGCTCCAGTGACAAGATAGGGATATGGGTTCTGTCTATCGTCCAACCACAGTTTGGGAATCCCATTGCAGCAAAGCCATCCACTATTACCTGCACATTTCCCAGATTCACTACCCTTGATATCAGCAGGTCTTTGATTGCGTTGGCTACTTGCATCACAGCAGCCCCCACAGTAGACTTGCCCACTCCAAATTGATTCCCGACTGACCGGTAGCTGTCTGGCGTTGCAAGCTTCCACAGGGCTATCGCCACTCGCTTCTCAACTGTGAGGGCTGCTCTCATCCTGGTATTCTGGCACTTCAGGGCAGGGGAAAGCAAGTCACAAAGTTCCATGAAAGTGCCCTTACGCATGCAAAAGTTTTGCAGCCACTGGGAATCGTCCCACACCTGCAACACGATGCGGTCCCACCAGTCTGTGGTTGTTTCCCGGGCCCAGAATTGGCATTCCACGCCATGAACCTCCCCCAGTAACACCATGATTTCCACATTGCTGGGGCCTGTACTTTGTGAGAGGTCTATGTCCATGTCAATTTCCTCATCACTCTCGGCACTGCGCTGCAATTGCCTCCTCACCTGGTTTTGCTTTGGCATGTTCTGGCTCTGCATATACTCCAGGACAGTGTGCGCGGTGTTCATAGTGCTCATAATTGCCTCAGTGATCTGAGTGGGCTCCATGATCCCAGTGCTATGGCATCTGGGCTGAAAAAAAGGCGCGTAACTATTGTCTGACAGAGGGAGGGAGGGGTGAGTGATGACATGGCTTACAGGGAATTAAAATCAACAAAGGTGGCTGTGCATCAGGGAGAAACACAAACAACTGTCACACAGAATGCCCCCCCCCCAAAGATTGAACTCAAAACCCTGGGTTTAGCAGGTCGTTGATTTCACAGAGGGAGGGGGAAGCAAATGAATACAGAACAAATCTGGTCCATCTATCTTTTACATGTTAGGCTAGCAGCAGACGGTGCAGCATGACTGATAGCCATCGGCATCTTCTGGGTGCTTGGCAGAAGATGCTGTATTACGACTGCTAGCCATCATCGTCAAGACGGTTCAATAGGACTGCCAGCAGGACTGAGTCTCCAGGAGACAAAACATGTCTGCCCAGGTGCCTCTGACCGAACTCACTGAGGAATACGGCAACGATGGATACCAGTCATAATACACCATCTACTGCCAAAAGGCAAGGAGCTGCTGCTGTATAGCAATGCAGCCCCATGTCTGCCAGCACCCAGATAGCTGATGACGGCTACCAGTCATCCTGCACTGTCTACTGCCAAAAGGCAATTAGCTGCTGCTGTGTAGCAATGCAGTACCACAACTGCTGGCACCCAGATGACATATGGTAACAGTGAGCTGAGCTGAGCGGGCTCCATGCTTGCTGTGGTATGTTGTCTGCACAGGTAACCCAGGTAAAAAGGCGTGAATCGATTGTCTGCCATTGCTCTGATGGAGGGGGAGGGGCCTGATGACATGTACCCAGAACCCCCTGTGACACTGTTTTTGCATCATCAGGCATTGGGATCTCAACCCGGAATTCCAATGGGCGGCGGAGTCTGAGGGAACTGTGGGATAGCTACCCTCAGTGCAACGCTCCGGAAGTAGACACTAGCCTCGGTACTGTGGACGCGGTCCACTGACTTAATGCACTTAGAGCATTTTATGTGGGGACACACACAATCGACTGTATAAAACCAATTTCTATAAAACCGGCTTCTATAAATTTGACCTAATTTCATAGTGTAGACACACCCTTGGTTCTAAAGCCTTTTTATTTCAGAAGGCCATCATTCTGCATTACCAAACTGATTCCCCAGTATAACTGCACAGGCCACTTTCATTGTGTAACATGTATATTACACTTAATCAAAATCTAAGTCTTCTTGGCTTTCATTCTTGCTAATTTGATATGGAGGAAATCTTGTCTATTGTGGTGCTGGTCTATGACTACTAATATGCTGAAGACATTCATACAATGCTCTGGTCAACTACATGCACTCTTTCCTCCACTTAAGAAAGCATTTGATAAAGCTAAATTGTACAGTACTTCTACAAATGTGTTTAAGTGGTACTAGAGAGACAAAGTTGGTGATATATCTTTTATTAGACCAATTTTTGTGAGAGAGACAAGCTTTTGAGCTTACACAGAGCTCTTCATTAGGTGTCATAGATTCATAGATTATAGGACTGGAAGGGACCTAGAGAGGTCATAGAGTCCAGTCCCCTGCCCGCATGGCAGGACCAAATACTGTCTAGACCATCCCTGATAGACATTTATCTATCCTACTCTTAAATATCTCCAGAGATGGAGATTCCACAACCTCCCTAGGCAATTTGTTCC